GATTCCTGGGAGAAGTTCGGTGAGGTGTTGGAGTCGAATTTCCACACGGCAAGCAAAGTATTCTGGCAGATGATCCGCCAGCTCCGAGGTGAAAAGAAGGGCAGTCTCCGAGTCTTAAAGGACAGGTCTGGACACCCCCTTACCAAGGGTCATGACATTCTTCGGCAATGGTGGGAGTACTTTGAGGAACTCCCTAACCCCGCGCAACTGCAGAAAGACTCGCACATATTACTATCTCTGCAGACGAAATTACACAATCTGTGAAAAGTCTGAAAAATGGAAAAGCTGCTGGAATTAACGAAATCAGCCCTGAGGTGCTTAAGGCACTAGGCGAACAAGGCATGTGCTGTTTTACAAGTGTCTGTCAAACTGCGATGACTGTGGGAAACACACTAGCGGACTGGAGAACGGGAGTTATTGTACCCGTATTCATGAAGGGGGACCACAAGGAGTGCTCGAATTACAGGGACATTACGCTACTGAGCCTCCCAGGTAAAGTCCACGCAAAGGTGCTAGAAAGGTGCCGCGAAATAAATGACCTCAAGATACAAGAAGAGTTATGTGGCTCCCGGCCCGGTCGAAGTACCTCTGACCATACATTTGCCCTGCGCCAGAATGCTGAGAAATCGTGGGAGTACGCCCAGCCGGTGTACATGTGTTTTGTGGACCTAGAGGAAGCGTATGACTGGAATCCCACGCAACAGCCTGTAGACATGCCTTCGAGCATACGGGATTGGTGGCAAGTTGCTAAGGGCCATCCAATCACTGTATTCTGATAGCAAATGCTGCGCCAGAGTAAACATCGTTTAGTCGAAACCATTCAACATTGGAACTGGTCTCCACCAAGAGTGCGTCCTGACCCCCATCCTGGTTGTGTTGTACATGGATAGAAAAGTTCAGTGGTGCCAAGGCGATGAGTGTATCGTAGAAGATGTGAAGACGAGAAGGTTGCTGTCTGCAGAGAACCTTGTATTATTAGCTTCTTTTGAAACTGATCTTCAGTGCTCCCTAGAAAGAGTCGCAGCCGAGTGCGACGTGACCGGCATGGTGTGAACGCATCTAAAACGAAAAGCATAGTGCTTTCTCGTTCTCATGCCGTTGCGCTGTTTAGATTAACGGAGAGGCAGTTGAGCAGGTGGAGAAGTTCAAGTACCTCGGAACTATGTTTACTAGTGACGGAAAGTTGGAGGAAGAGATCGACCGGCGAATTGGTGTAGCCAGCGGCGTTCTGCGTGAACTAGCCCGACTCATTGTGACTAAAGCAGAGCTCACTCTGGAAACTAAGCTCTCGATGTTCAAGTCGATCTTTATCCCCATGCTTACTTACGGGCATGAGTCGTGGACCATGACAGAAAAGCTTTGAACCCGGGTATAAACAACCGATATGGGCTTTGAGAGGTGAGCTGATAACCTTACGCGTCTCTTAATACTGATATCCGGAAGACTGAGAAGTCACAGCTGTGTCTGTTTGGGCCTGTGTTGTGAATGTGCCCAGAAAGGAAGGATAAGCTATTTTGTTGCGAAACTAACTGAGAGAAAGCCCAGGGGAGACCATGATTAACGTGGTGCAAAAATATGGAAGGAGTCTGTCCCAGACTTCAGTTATCTTCTGCCGAAACTCAAACTCTGGCACAGGATCGGGAACGTTGGAAGCGGTGTCTGTTTGACGCGTCTGCCTCCGCGACCTGAAAGGAAAGAAGTGGCCATAGAAGATGAAGAGGAAGAGGAAGCATGTCTGTGTTCAATAGTAAGCAAATCAAGACTGAGGAAGTTGCTCACATGCACCACGCGAACTGCTTGCCTTGTGGAAAATCGCATTTAGGTAGGTTAAGTAATAACCTAGGCGCGTCAAGTAAAACTGAAAATACTTGAAATTTTTCCCACAGCCCTTTTCATAAAGTTTATGCAGTACATTTAACGATTTAAGTCGAAATTACGATAATACTTAAGTCTACTACTTACGATAATATTTAACTTATTTAAGTCGAAATTACGTAAGTTTCAGTCTATCTCTCTTTACGATATCTGAATTTAAATATGGGTACGATGGCAATGCTTTACGTAGAAGACTTATGCCGAAGGTTAATTACTTGGTGAAGGGTTTCTTCATGTTTGACATTCGTCTGAGGAAGCAGCCAGTATGATTTTGGACCTAGTCGAACGTTAACGGCTAAAACCAATTTTCGCGTCATACATCTTTTTAGTGAATGGAGGTCGGTCACCTCGTCGGTCTTCGCTGAAATGACATCGCGGTGGTCACGAAACTTTGGTAACGGTGAATAGAGAACAACAACGCACTTTCGACCATGAACATATCCCGAAATAGCGCCAACTGTTGATCGCACGCATCCTCAAAGTCTTGGGCGGTGACTATGGCCGCTTCAGGGACGCTACCGCCCTTATCTCTGACCTCGTTTGTGGCCTTCTTTCCCTTATTCTTGGCGGACGATGGCGATGATGATGACGTATGTTTGCTAAACTGAAATAAATTACTGTCATTATCAAAAATGGAGTCGTCCACTCACAGGTCTTCCATGTGGCGCAGTTCAAAAGGACTGTACAAACTGCGCTGTGTCTCGATGGTGTCTAGCAGCCGCGTCATTTTCTCTTGCATAGGGTCCATCGGAGCAGCGAGCACAGGAAATCGCTCCAGGCAAACAGCCGCGCAAACGTCCCACTTCTCCACTTTGTCAGGTTTCCCATCCGGCAGGGGACAATGGCGCTTGGCTTCCTTAGAAGGCTTTGTCGCCGCTGCAAGCGAACACCCAGTACTCAGCGCAGCGGCACCAGAAAGGCGATGACACACATACCAACGAAGTTTGAGCATTCTATAAGCAACATGTTTCAGCCATCTAAAACTGTTTCGACTAAGTACTCGCGTAAACGTGGCAACAGTACTAGAAGGTACGGCGATTAAACAGAAGACGAAGTTGTCCAAAATTACTGTTAAATATGACTGTAGCAATAGGACGCAGCGAGGGCATATTAATGTTAAAAAGGAACCCTGCCAAATCCGAAGAAGCAGTAACAAATGCCATCGATATTTTAGGCATGTCGTACAACTTCCCTCATTTTAAAAGGCTAAATCACTAATTTTCGCTGATACTCCGGATCGCCTCGTAAAACAGCACATACGCTACTCCCTCGAGCATTTCATTATACTGGAAAAATCGTGAATGACATTATGTACATCTTTCTGCAACACGGATTCGACCATATACTACACTCGGGTTTGTTGCACTTTCTTCATAACTGCGCCTACTGTTTTTTTTGTTATATACAGCTTCAGGCGACGATGGGGTAGCATATAGGATAAACTGCTAATGCGGAAAAAGGTGCATTACAGAAAGTGGTAGAAAGCTGAACCGGATACTTCTCTTAGCAGAGATTTGCCGTTGCGGGGAACAGGATACCAAACAGCCACGTAAAAAATGAAGTATTAGCAGCATCCCTTGCACGTAAGCCACCTGGTGAAAAAAAAATCTTAGAAGAAGTCATGGTGGAACAGACAAAAACCAAGATCAACAGTTTTAAGAAAATTTACAAGATGAACACAGCATAGTTTCTTCTATTACTTGATCAATGTGTGTAATTTAAACTACCATCTCTAACTACGCACTTACCCTACTTCAATCTTCTGATACAAAAGCCACTTAAAATGCATCACGAACAGCAACTACACTTGAACCAAAAAAGGGTTCGTCACCAAACAAAACAACGGCAAAACAACCACACCATGTTTCATCCTATCCACAGGCTGCTCACCACGTTAAGATGCACGGCTGTTGTGGCTCTTGTTTCGGAAACAAGAACGGTTGTGTACTAACTGAATGCATATTAAACTCTTTAAGTAATTAAAGGACAAAATTATATTTAAATAAATTACTCCTAAATATCTGTAAACTTAAATTCAAACCAGTGACTAGATTCATCAAAAAATCTGTGCAAGAATACCTACAACTGTGCATAAAATTATTTTTTTGTTCAGGTTAACGGTTAGGAAGTGAACAGCTAGAGAACTTGATTCGTGCATTGATGATCATAATGAAAAACGCCATAAACCACTAATAGCACACAGTGCAAAGTAGATATGAATGAGGAAGAATTGTTTCTGGTTCCCAACCTAATATCTAATGTCACAACAAGAAAAACCTTGAACAGTGAGGAACAGTCGTGAAACACCAGCCGAAAGCATGGGCATTCGTCATTCATAGGATTGACGACATTATTTTTATGTTGCGTTTTCAAAAAAATCAAAATCCGCCGTTGCTGGTGCCCCAGTCCGAATGAGAAAAGAGGAAGGTTTGGATCAAGACGATGTACCGTAAAACTCAGCCACCTGTCCCTCATGGAATGACCGTTATCGAACATCATACTGCCTCAGCCATTCCGCCGGGAGTGCCTAAAGTAACGCAAGCTGTTAAAGAACTGAAAATCCTCATGAAAATTAGACGATAAGAACCTGCGCGGTACCTTCTGGCAAGAGGGGGCGTAGCAGCACAACAACAACTAACGAAGATTGACAAAACGAAGACGAAAATACCAACCAGTAAATGAGTCGCTGCACCTTCTGAACGGAGGAGGCAGACTGCGTGATGTCTTAATAGCAGGTCAAAAGAGGGTACACGGGAAAGGAACGGACAAGAAGAGGTGATAGTCGAAAACCGGAACATCATCACTCATAGGTAAAGACAAGGAGCTAGCTGATGAGGCCAAAGTACCAACTCGACACAGTTGAAGTCAAAGCGCCAAGGCTCTGGAATCCTGAACCTCTGCAGGTTGAAGCTATTCTACTCAGGTATCGATATCACGAGGTGCGCTCAGACCGGCGTAGGTGTTCTCGCAGAACCCAACTTGGCTGACAGAATCACTGAATGGAAGCCTATCAGCGGAAGGATAGCAATCCTCCAAAAAAAGTTGTTACAGGTCTATGCGCCCAACTGGAGAGAGAAAGAGACTGTGAATCCTACCTTCAGAAAGTGGAGCGTGCTCTGAAGAAAGTGCTGATTACGGAGCCCTCATTCTAATGGGCGATTTTAATTTGCACATCGGAGCAGACAATGAAAAGTGGAAAGGCGCAACTGAATAAAAAACGGCCGTAGTCAACTGAACAGTAACGGCAAGAATTGGTTACGGTTTTGTGCAAACAATGGACTGTCTGTTAACTGCACTTTGTAGCATGGAAATGCGTATCACATTTACTTACAGTTATCCAAATTTGGGGTAAACGTGGGCTTAGTAACAAAACTCGATTATCAATTTGATATTTATATCGCATTACTTATTCATGGTGATCTTGGTGATTCCCGTTCACAGAGGCGCACATCCAGATTAGTCGATAATAATCTTCTTATAAACACCCTCTGCCCTAAAACGACGGAGTATCATTAGAAGATCTGGCGAAAAAACCAACAACAGAATCAAATGGAAACATTATCTTCTGTGAAAACGGCAGCAAAAGAAGTAAACAGCATCGTATTACGGTTTAAACAGAACCCAGTGATGACCGCTCATGTAGAAACCGAGTGTCAGCTCTTCAGGAGCGCTTTAACCTAGGCTTCTGCTGAACAGTGTGATATAAAACGGGTTCGCCTGCCATCTGCAGGTCAGAAACGATCATCCCAGCGGACAGGAGATATTCAATAGGCTATCACAAAGCACAGCGCATGGCAAATGGCGGCGGCGAAAGCTAATTAGTTCGGTCAGTGCGCTAGTCGTACTTCCAGATGGCAAACAAAGTATTCTCGTAGACCATCCGCCCTGTCTGAGGTTGAAACAAGGGTAGTAATGAAGATAGGTCAGGAACCGCCTTACCAAGGATAAAGACACTCTTCGGCGGTGGGTGGAGTATCTTGAGAAACTCCTTAATCCGGGGTAACGACAAGAAGACTCATCTGAAGAGAATCAGAGAACGGATTGTAGCATTTTTGTAGATGAAATGGCAAGGCGGTAGCGAAACCAGTGGCGAAAATCGGCGCCCCGGAAGAGGGGCTGATTTATCTTAGAAGCTCGGTGAGGTGTTGGACTTGAATTTCCAGATGGCAAACAAGGTATTCTGCCACCATCCGCCGGCTCTGAAGTAAAAAGAAGGGCAGCCTAAGACAACCTCAATCTGGACATCTTATCGAGAATGACGATATTCTTCGGCGATGGACAGCGTGCCTTCACGAATTTTTTAACCCTGAGCAACAGCAGGAAGACTCCTCTGTACAGCAGCAGGGAACAAATAATATTTCTGTACATGAAATTACACAAGCTGTGAAAAGCTTAAAAAGTGGGAAGGCTGTTGGAATTGATGAAATCGGGCCTAATATACTTAAAGCCGTAAGCGATCACGGCATGTAGTCGTTAACACCTGTCTAACAAACTGCAACGGCGACGGGAGAGACACAAGCGGGATGGAGAGTGGGTGTTGCAGTCCCTCTGTTCAAGAAAGGAGATCATACGGAGTGCTCCAATTATCGAGGCGTGAAGTTATTGATCCTCCCAGGTAAAGGTACTAGAAAGAAGGTGCCTCTATGGCTATAACAACTCACTCTAGAACAGAAGAAGGGTACTATGACTTTTAAGTCTCGCCGAATCACCTCTGACAAGATATTCCCCCTAAGTACCTCAGAATCGTATTTACTAATAACGGAAAATTTGAGAAAGAGATCGCCTAACGGACAGGAATATTCGGTGGCGTTCTGCGTGAATTAGCCCGAACTCTTGTGACTAAAGCAGAGGTGCGTCTGAAAACTAAGCTCTCTGTGTTCACTTCGACCTTCAGCACAATGCTCACCATGCTTACGCATCGATCCCGGGTACAAGCGGCTGAAGTGGGCTTTCTTAGACAAGTCGCTGGGCTTAGGCATCTCGATTTGGTCCGGAATACTGACATCCGCAAGAACCTTAGTGCACAGCCTCTGCTTTCTAATACTGAAGTCAGAGGCTGCTATGGTATGGGCAAGAATTACAAATGCTTCGAGAAAGGAAGGCGAAACAGCGATTACTTTCCCAAATGACAAGCCGATGATTCCGGTGACGGCCAAAAATAGCCTGGAGAAAGTTTTTGAAGACTCTGCCCCAGAACTGGGTTGTATCTACCGAAACCCGACCATTGGCACATAATCAGTAACGCTGGAGACGCTGTCGCACGTGCGTCTACTAAAAAACCGAAGAGCGAACTGACTGACTCAATAAAAGATTGTCTTCCACGATTTTAATTTCCTAAATTAGCACATTTCCTCTCTCCGCACAAATCAAAAAACACTATTTGACGACCTCGTTCAAGGAATATTCGCTGAACTAGAATGGTTCAACTCAGCTAGCCTTCGTTCAATAATAAAAGTGCATCACAATAGTAAGAGTAGTCATATACCTACTGCTGCAAATTCACGAAATGCTCAATAATTATTCA